CCCCCCCCCACACACCTACACAGACACATAATGTGCAAATTCCGACCGAGCAACCTCCCTGTGGTGCACATCGGGTAACGCGAATGCTGGCGGTAATACCCAAAATCTTGCAAAATGTAAGGTTCTCTTTGGAAGCTGATAACTCAGCTTCTAGACATGCTAGAGTAATGATCGTGGTCTCGTTTTAAAGGAAACATTTCAAACTATAAAATGCATGTAATAAGATTTTTCGGCCTGTTCGTATTTTGCCCGTGAAAATTTGGAAAGTCGCGAAATTTTTCGAATTTTAACACGACCTGCTTCTGGTCTTCGTGAAAAAGTCCCATTTGATGGGACGACAAATATTATATTAACTGTTTTAAAGAAGAAGTTTCACTCTTTAAAACGTGACTAGAGAAAATGTCCTACGATCTTTGGAAGCAGAGATACAGTTTCTTAAATATCGACAAAATTTATAGGTTTTAAAGTGATCCCCTAATTGTTGTGCGTAGTGTATATTATTACAGTGTCTTCCATTAAGAGATTTTGTTTCAAATTAATAAAAAAAGGGATAAGTTTTTAATACGACGCGAAGAATTAGAAATACTAATAATAATTAAAATAATCAAATATAATTTTAATTATTCTGTTTTCTCATATTTTCTAAACTCTGCAAAGCTTTTTAATACGAACTTTATAAAAATTTAGAGCCCCATCTTTACTTTTACTGTAGGGCTTTTGTATAAACTCTGTGCAGTAGTTTAGTAGAATTAGCATTTTTTTCAAGACCGAACAATACGAGTAGTTCGTCGGCGCGCAATTTAAAGGAATACATACATAGTATGTTTACAGAGAATTATAAATATTATGCAAACATCTAAGGTCTATATAGTTACACCGTTAAGTCTTTCTTTCTCATCGGTTTAATTTTTATTTTTATCTAAAGCATGTTTTAGATGAAAATATATTATAATTAAAAAATCTCTTAATTATTTCTTCAATAAATCCGGTCCACATTAGATCGAACAACCAATTAAAAGTTTACTGTATATGAATTATTAAATAGACAATTTTTTTCCATAACAAGTTGAATTATATTTTACTTACGATTACACTTTTCACCATAAAAGCCACAATAAGGTTCTGCTTTTGGTGGTCCTTTTCCGAACCATGATATGTCCTTATGTAATCGAAGATTCTAAACATTTGTTATCGAGAGTTAAATAAGAAGATAATTTGAAATAATTTATAATAGATACAATGAAGTGTTATTTACGTTAGACAATTTTTTAATGAAAAAAGATTGATACGTATGCTTTTTCTTGTTTTCATATTTACAAGTAAAAATAAGTTATTTTTTAAAAATTTATAATTGAATTAATAAAGTAGAGCATATTTTACATTATATCAAAATATGGTAATTATTTTATACATGATAATATTTGATAATGTTAAACTTTTGTTATTCTTAAATTAATATCATTTAGTTAATATGATATTAATATAAACATTTTTTTATTTTAAACATAAATAAAATGTTACAACGACATATAATGTAGTTTATATTTGTTTACTGGTAAATTTGTTCCTTGTTGCTTTGCAATGAAATAACCAAACGGGTAAAGACCATAACCCGTTACATTGGCCAAGGCAACCAATGTATAGTTGCCCTCGGCATCACCGTTTTCGTCCAGGTGTACCAAATATCCCATTGCACTTTTATAATAAGTGTCTCGTAATTTTTCCATCATCTCTTTTCCGTTTCTCGGGTCTTTTTTGTTATCGAGGGCATTTACTAGAGCTGTAGCGTACAGATGCACTGCATCGTAGAGATACGCTGTCTCCGGCACAATCTACATTACAGTATAAAGATTATGTCTTGGAATTGAGAGTGATCTCAACGGAAAGGCCGTCTGTGCGATTATATGAATTTTGTAGTCGAAATTGTATTATTAAAATATCCAAATTCACAGAGCATGTCTTTCCAAAATTTTCGTTATCTACCTATTGTAGTCACCTGAACTATTCCTCCGACGTTGGCTGATGGATTTGTAAAATTAAATGGCGGTTTCTCTCTGTACTTATTAACAAGTTGACTAAAGTTTTTAAAATTGATTGGGGCGGAAGCCATAATACTAAAGTAATTCTTAAATATTTTTATTGTTTTGTTTAATTTCGTTTCCCACAAGCCTTTAAGATATTTTTTTGGTTGGTGATCGTCGTATTGCTCGATGTCAATACCGACGACAAAATAGTCACCTACAATGTTAAATAGTTAAAAATAATATTATTTAAATGAGGTGAACGATGCGCGCGCACGAAAAATAGTTACAAAATAAAGTATATACATGATACCAAATGATAGCAAATTTATACCTTTATTCGGGAGATTCTTTTCCTCCAGAGCTATCAAGAGACCCATATGTTCGTAATAATGTCCAAGTATTACATAAACTAGAATATATGTACGTAATTTACAATTGTGCGATAATTAGAGCTCCCCTTTCTAGTTTTTAATCTGTCATGTCCGCTTTTTCAAACCGTGATGTTGCTAAGTCAGTTACGTTTTAATATTTAGTTTTAGTTTAACTTAATTTTTTAATTTAATATGTCTAAAGAGAGATGCGTGACTAAAATGAACGATATGCAATATTTATTCTATAAGTCTACTTATAAGATACTTATCCTTGTTGTATGCGGGTTGTTTTATATGCAAGTTTTATTCTGTCGTACTGCGACATAAATCAAGATAGCGAAATGCGGGTAGCGCGCTTATTTTGAATCGCGCAAGTTGATTGGTAAAAAACACACGTTTCTGACGAAACTAAACTTTTAAACTCTAGAAATTGAAATAACATGAAAAAAGATTAACATTGAAAGCCTGATCTATATACTTTAAAAAGAATTATCGGTGATGAAAAATGCGGCATGAGTTAAAATTTTTGTGATATTATTATATTTCGATAAATATGATAATTTAAGATTTAAGGAATTATTACTTGTAAATAAACATTCTTATTACTTACTTCGAGTATGCCGATATGTTTCGTGAACAAGTTTATAGAACGGATTTTTCGTATAGTTCATGTGATACGGTTCGTTCCACGAACGACGGTAATTGAAATTAATGCCAGCTGCTTCAAAAGATCTTATCATTGTTGTTGCAAGTGTGGACATTTTATTGAATTCAAAAATTGTTGAGTTCATGAATAAAAAGGTAACCTACATAGAACGTTTACAAAAATATTTATTAGAGTTAAATTAAAAATGTTATACTAATATTATAATATATAGAAACATGCAGTTATCACTCACTTTGTACCAATTGAAAAGTTTCAGTACTGATATTACAGATTTTATGATTTGGCTATCTGGTGGTCTTGTCCGAACAAAAGTTGGGAATTCCTTTTTATTCGACGTTTCGTTATGTGTGCAAAACTAGAAAATATGGACTAGTTAGTGAAATTTCATACATCTAACATGGGAACCGCGCTAGGTGTCAAATTCTGATTTTAATGAAACTTTGTGAACTTGTAGCTTACATAAAGAGATGAATTTAGAAAATATCAGTTGGAGCGGAAGAATGATTTGAAGGAGTGAAATCTTTCCTTACGTGTTCAGCTTTTTCCGTTATATCTCGAAAGCTATTCGAGATATAAAAAAATGTTTCACACAAAACTTTTACAACAAAATTAGTTGTATTCATTCGCGTCAATAATATTTTTTTTAAATATTGTTTTTCAAAGTTTTCGAAAAAAATCGTTAAATAATTATTCTAAAAAAATATAATATTATTGGCGTGAATAAATAGAAGTAATTTTATTGTAAAATTATTAAGATTGATCTAAAGATGCGCAAAGAGCATAAAAAATTGTTAAATTGTTAGGCAATTTAATTCGTGATATTACTGCGGTAGTTTAGTAGTTGTTTCAAGTCTGAAAAGAAAATTCAGCCCGCAATTGAAAATCTACAAATATAGTATATAAATTTACATGTAAAAAATAAAATGGGTAATAATTTAGATTAGGGGACACCTCACCGATGACCTTGACCTTGACATATGTTGTCAAGGACATGATTCTGAGTAACTTTGCCTTAACAACTAGGCGGCGGTCTCTTATAGTTTCTGAGATATTTAGACTTAAAAGTATAATTTTGTATAATACAAGACAAATGTTCACTATAGGGGACCCAGCTCCGATGATCTTAACCTTGACATATGTTGTCAAGGTGATGACCTTGAGTAACCTCCCGCATGTTTTAGGTGGCGGTCGCTGTCCGTTAAAAAGTTATGATCAAAAAAAGTTTCGAAATTAACGTATCATTTCTGGGAAATTATACGTATTAACGTATCATTTCTGCCATATATGTATTATAACAAGTACTAATTTTACATCTCCTCCTGTGTAGAAACGTTAAACTTTCCACGCGAAGTAACTTTAACCCCCCCTCTTCACAGAGGCACTCGACTTCTACGATTGTACTGTTGCTATGATAGTACTGTCGGGGCAGACCTCTGTCGACGGTGTCGGTGCGGGGGCACCCGCCTGTGTGTGTGTTTGTGTGTGTAAAATATCAAGTAATAGACTCATAATCGTAGACAGAGGTCTGCCCCGACAGTATTATCATAGCAACAGTACAATCATAGAAGTCGAGTGCCCCTGTGAAGAGGGGGGAGGGGGGTTTAAAGTTACTTTGCGTGGAAAGTTTAACGTTTCTAAACAGGGAAAGGTGTAGAATAGTACTTAATATCATACATGTATTAGGTATATGTATATCATATGTTAATTTTAAAACTATGATTGTTAATAACTTTTTAACGAAGGACGAGCGACGGCTAGAACCTGTTGGAGGTTACTCAGGGTCGTATCCTTGAGAACATACGTCAAGGTCAAGGTAATTGTGGAGAGTCCCCTGATCTAAAAATTTACCGGTTTCACTACTGTTAAAAATAACTTCAACGCTTAATATCTCAAAAATGATAAGAGTCCGCCGCCTAGTTGTTAAGGTAAAGTTACTCAGAATCATGATCTTGACAACATATGTCAAGGTCAAGGTCATCGGTGAGGTGTCCCCTAATCTAAATAATTACCATAAAATGTTAATTTTAACTCAAAGACGTTGAGTGGATTTTCTGAGACATGCAAAAATGATGATTTTAAACATTAACACAAAAATGTTAATTTTAACATTTATGCATGCTCAGAAAGTCCACTCAACGTCTTTGAGTTAAAATTAACATTTTATTTTTTACCGTGTAATTATACAGAAGCATCCGAGATCCAGTTTGACCGTTACGACATGTTTTCATCGGTATTTATTGTGAAACTTTTGTATAAAACATTTTTTTAATAACTTGAATAGTTTTCGAGATATAGCGGAGAAAGCTAAAAATCGCTTCACACATGAGGCCTGATTTCATCCTTCAAATTCTAGGTTACAATTTTCAGCACTTTTTAAAAAAATTGTTATTTAAAAAAATATTTATGATAGAGGTAATTTTATTATAAAGCTATTTGTAAGTAGATTTCTATCACAAGGAAATGATAAAATGCTATCATTTCCACACCACCTATCATAAGGAAAATAGTATAGTACGCTTTTTTTTATAGTGGTTTCCCCAGGAGGTCTATTCCACTCTCATTTTTTTATATACCAATTATTCCAAATGCCGTCCTTCCTTTTTTGAGGAATCTCTATTTTGGGACATGTTATTTAAAAAATGTGTTTAAAAGATATAATATATTATTTTTATTACATACAAATATATTCGCGCGAGTAATATTAAAAAATGCTTATACAGTTGGAAAATTTGTGTGTTTTTGTGAGAAAAAATCTGCTGATTAAAGTTTTTGTGTTAAGTAAGGTACACATTGTTATCATTTAGATGTGAATTTAACATATGTCTCTTATGTGAAATGAATATAAATGAATATGAAGTGTAAAGTTATTGAAACGATTTAAAAAATATGTTAAAGTAGCACAATTTGCACGTATTTAGTAAATATGTTACAATAAAATTTACAGAATAAGAGTGTTGATTTTACTTTATAACGTATTATATTAATAAAACGTTGGAGTAGTTACATTTATATCTCGCTTCGCTTGTGCGCTCGCGCGCCAGCGCCGCACAATAAACAACTAATACCCACTTGTTACACAATGTACTATTATATGTTAATTTTATCATAATAATTATGTTGATTGTGTATATATAACTCTCTGTAAGTTTTATTCAAGATTACATTCCATTTTTGTTGAAATATAAACATAATATCCGTGTTATCATTCAATATACTCTCATATTATGTTAAATTATTTGACATTAGTGGTTATTTCATGATATACAGTCGTGGCAGAAATTAATAGGTATATTAATTTATTTGTTCTTTTTCAATTTGCAAACATATGTGTTAATGCTAGGACTCAGATTACCTTTTCAGTTGAATGTCGACACATTTGAAAAACATGTTTATACATATATACAAATAATCTTAGTTGATCTCTAAAATTAAATAAGTGCAGACGTTTTTCGAAAAGAGTGATTTCGGACTGGCAGAAATAATAGGTACAAGCTGTTTTCCATATTATTAAATTTTGTTGGACACTTTTATATTGCCAGAGATTATAAATCTATGTTTAATTTAGTATTTACCAACATTATTTTGTGATCTTATTTATTTTGTTGATGAAAAATGGGTAGATCGAAACATTGTACAGATAGGAGAAAATATTGATAAAATATCTTTATAAAAATCGAAAATCTCTCGGGAAAATATCTAAATTGATAGGACGGTCTATAAATATGATTGCTAACGCCTTAAAAGCACAGCAGTCTGTAGAATTGTGAGGGAGACCTCGAAAAACAACTGAAGTATTTGATCAGCTACTACTTCGGAAATGCAAAGCCGATCCCTTTGCAAATTCTTTTACACTGAAGGAGCAAACTAATGCACCGATATCAGCGAAAACAATTCGTCAAAGACTGCAAGATGTTAAATTGTGTACTAGCCCCAAGAAAAGTGCCACTATTGAGTAAAAAGAATATTACAGATCGTTTAACTTTTGCGAATAAATATTTAAAAACTGTTGGTGAAGAGAGAGAGAAGCAGTGGAGAAATATTCTTTGGAGCGACGAAACAAAGATTAATTTGTTCGGATCTGATAGTGCATTAACTGTGAGGAGGCCCTCAAATGCTGCATTTAATCCTAAATTCAAAAAGACAATAAAGTTTAGCGGAGGAAATATCATGGTTTGGGGATGCTTCTCCTACAATGGTGTCGGTTCTCTGTACTGGATCAAGAAATCGATGAAAAGGGATTTATCGTGATATTCACATCACAGTGACATCACACAATCAGCCCTGGCAGAACATAGCATTGAGACAGGACATCGAATGCTATTCGATAAAACGGCAACTATTGCCGCAACAACATCATATTTCCCGAGGAAGCACAGAGAGGCCTTGGAAATACAGAAACATCCAGACAATTTAAACAGAGATCAGGCTATAATGTAAGCAAGATATGGAAGACTGCCCTCTCGACAGGCTAAAGAAGTACTCCTTTCCTTACCCCTCAACATACACCTCCCCCTCCCAACAACGTTTACATAAAGGGAATCCCCCAGGATAGCGGCTTAGTATCAGCGCACCCCTCGCCCTGATGAAGTGAACGGTATGGTTACGAAACGTTGGCATTAATAATGAAGAAAGACACGGCGATAACCCGCAAACCTTCTGGTGTAATTGAAGAAAATACCCGTGAAAGCCTCAAAAGCGTTATCGAGCTACACAACTTACCTCATATATATATGGTAGGGGATATATGCAAGGGTAAAAATGCAAGGGTTTCAAAAAGTTCTTTCTTTAACACAAAAAATAAATATTTTGGACTTCTAATATTTTTTTCGTCACATTTTAAACGATATCATGTTACTCTATGTTAAGGAGAATATGCCACTGATATGGACTTCTCAGCAAGATAATGATCCAAAACATTCGTCGAATCTTGTAAAAACGTGGTTTGAAGATAATCAAATCTCTGTGATGAAATGGCCAGCACAATCTCCTAATTTAAATCTCATCGAAAATTTGTGGCATGAAGTAAAAAAAGCAGTCCCAAAGGAGAAAATTAAAAATAAAACTCAATTATGGCAAAAAATTCAGAAAGCGTGGTACAACACATCAAGATCAATTTTGCGAGCACTTAGTAGATTCAATGAGCCGCCGATGTCAAGCAGTTTTGCGAAATAAGGGCTACGCGACTAAATATTAGTTAGAAAGGCAAGATATATTTTTCCGAATGTTTTAAATAATTTTCTGTTGTGCAATATATTTCATAGTGCAATTGTACCTATTATTTTTGCCAATAACTTTTTATCAAAAATTTTTTAAGACTAAATATTTCATGATTGTATGACTTAGGCGAAAAATTATTAACTTTTTAATAAACGTAAAGCCTCAAAGTGTTACCTCTACACATAATAATTGATCTGAATTTTTTTTTTCTGTCTTCTGCAGATAAAATTACGATTTATCTGCGGTGTACCTATTATTTCTGTGTACCTATTATTTGTCATTATTATTTATTACTTTATATACATTTTATCATTCTATTCGTTAATAAAACGTTGTAAATACATTTTATAAGTTATTGTTATTTTACGTCTTATTTATAAGAATTGTAAATTTTTTGTGAGCTATATATACCTTACTCATCTCCCTTAAGAGTAGTTACACAACTTACTCCATGGGATATATGGCAAAAATGTAAACTTCAATCACATATTTCAATCAAAAATGCAAGGGTTTCAAAAAGTTCTTTCTTTAACACAAAAAATAAATATTTTGGATTTCTAATATTTTTTCGTAGTAGTAGACAAAGTTATACAGTACAAAGTTTTTAATGATTTAGTTTGTTTACTTTAAACATAATAAATAATATTTAATAGTTTTTGTTAGGTGCAGCTTATATACCGGAGTTACCCTAAACATATTTTTTTGTTAAAAAGAGCAATGAATGTATTTACTATGAATTTTAAAATTACTTATAAATTTCGTTATTATAATAATACTAACATGTGATTATTATATGACAAAATGTTCACAATTAAGAAAATTCTTCAAAAAAGTGCTGCATACCAAAATTTTTTTTGTACTAGGAACATTGTATTATAGCAAGTGCACCACAAGTAGCTTTATAATAAGGTTACCTCTATTTATTCACGTCAATAATATTTTTTCAGAATAATTGTTTATAATTTTTTTCAAAAATTTTGAAAAATAACTAGTTTTAAAAGATATTATTGATACGAATGAATACAGCTAATTTTGTTGTAAAACTTTTGTATAAAACATTTTTTTAAATCTTGAACAGTTTTCGAGATATAACGGAAAAAGCTGAAAACCGCTGTATACATAAGGGTGATTTTATCTCTTCAAATTGTGTGTGTGTTTTTCCGCTCCAATTGATATTTTTTAAATTCATCTCCTTATGTAAGGTACAAGTTCATAAGTTCCATTAAAATCAGAATTTGACATCTCGCGAGGTTCTCGTATAAGTTTTGTCCAATTGTATACATGCATGCTACTATAATATGTATAAAAAAAGTGCAGTATTAAGGATTTTTATTTCGAGCATGTATGTATATATTATATATAGATATAAAATTTTTAAAAAGAAAAGCTTGAAATGAGAACAGTGTTTTATAAAAACTTTGTTATAGAATTTCTATAATTGGATTACAATATATGTTACTTAATGTGAAGGAAAGAGAAGAAATTTTATTATAAAAAACTCAAAATTTTTTTAACATAATGCAGTGTTTCATAAAGAAATAAATATCAGATTAATGTGGATTCGATATTTATTTCTTTTTTGGTATTTGCCGTGTTCGAGCTGAATGAAACAGCTAGCTTGCTCATTGAATAATTCAATATGATTGATTGGTTCTACAAGTAATACATCACGTTTAATCGCTGAGCGATTGAATACGATTGGTTACATTGTATATCTTGCAAGCTAGCTATTTTGTCAACTTGAACATGGCTAATGTAACGACCGAATGGCTTATATTTTCCTCTGTATATCATAAGAATGAAATGAAGATCGATCCTTGCGCCATCCTTTAAATCGTAGTTTAATTATATTTATAATACATCATGCTTTGAATAATAAGGATTCCGCGGTAATATCCATATGAATCGTTTCGAGCAGCGAATGGCGCTTGTATATCCGTTGTTTTATAAACAAAATTGTTTATTATGCGTGAGTCTCGCAACGTGAGAAACGCGCATTTTTGCAAAAGTGTGAGTAGATCCGACGGACATAACAATATATAATACATAAAAATTTACATAACGATAATTTATTTCACAACAAAAGTACTAAAATTAATAATATAAGAATAATTATACGTATGATAGCATTGGAAGGTTGAAAGCTGCCGCCATTTTGGCTTCGTGGACGCAAGTTTCCTGAGGACCAATGTATGCGCTAACGTTTTTCTTCCATAATTCAGCGGTATTCTTAATGCTAATCTCTTCATCTCCATATGTTTCGGAAACAATAAAATTCAAACTATGCCCTCGCCGACCAAGCTCACCGGCATTTACCTGCATTTCAAGCAAAACTATTTTTAAGAAAAAACATTTGGGTAAATGTTTCGATTAGGGGACCCCCCTCCAATGACTTTGACCTTGACATATGTTGTCAAGGTCATGACCCTGAGTAACTTCCAACAGGTTTTAGCCGTCGCTCGTCCTTCGTTAAAAAGTTATTCACAATCATACTTTTAAAATAAACGTATTATTTCTGCTATACATGTATGATATGAAGTACTAATCTACACCTTTTCCTGTTCAGAAACGTAGAAGTTTCCACGCGAAGTAACTTTC